GGTTTTGACATCTTCAGAAGAGAAGGCTTCCATTTAAAACTTTCTTGGAAACAGAAACACTTCAGTTTTATCAAGAAAGTATAAACGAGCTTGAGATCTCAGTGAAATATTCTGCTCCTGTTTTCTTCATTCATAAATTCCTCCTTGGTTGATGCACTGGAAGTTACGTTTTCTGAACTGCTGAAGAGCAAAGCCAAATGCTCTTGTTCCAAACAGAAAGTTGTTTGTACAACCTGTATACTGGAGTGTGCTGAGCAATCAGAAAGCACGTGAGAAAAGAGCAGTTCAACTTGTTGCCAACCCTCCCATTTTCAGGTTTTTTAAATTACAAAGTTTCTCTAGTTTCTTGGATGGAATAACACAGATCCAGATCCAACAAGCAGTCTGCCTTCAGTGCACTGAGAAATTGTTCTTCATTTTCTGGGATAGGTTAATTTCATTTAGGTAAGGCAAGGCAAAAGGAACAGGCTTTTTGGGACATTGCCAAGTAAGAAGATTAAGTCAGCATCAAATCCATTAGTGAATTGATTTATCTACTTTGGCCAACACCATTTCAGCCTCTTTGTCTTGCCTTTTTCTCTCTCTTGGGTAGTAATTTAAGTAATTCACAATCTTGCATTACATAGTGGTTGCTCTGCTTAAAACTAGGTTTACTGCTCCCTGAATGTTTTTTAAGCGGATCTAATTCAGTTTTGTCTTTTTCATGGCAACTTTTTCTTCTTATGTGAATGTACCAGTTCTTTGAAAACTCATGTGACGTTGTTTCTGGGAATATGCAATCCTAATTGTTGTAGGCTACTGCAGAACACACCTGCAATGAAGTTGCCCCTTAATTGCACAAGTATACGTGTCCATTATTATTCAGTGTCCGCTCTGACCTTTCTTTCAGAAGCCCTGTTCCTAGGCTTCGTAGTTGGCCTTCCTGTAGTTGTCTCACCGGTCTTTGTTTTTCCTCATTTTAGTTTCCTACTGATTAGAGGATTGGAACCTTGTGAGCGATGGTTATGGTGTCAGTTGAAGTCAACCTCTGAGGGACACTTTTTCTGCCTTTGGTGTATTTATAATATGTCTGTCTTTTGTGGATTCTTTGCCAATTTCCTAGGCTTGGATTTTGCAAGTTCTATCAAGAAACATGTATGACATGAGCAACAACGTCTCAACAGTATTGTGATTTTCTTGGTCTTTAGTGTCATTCATACAGAAGATGCATTAAACGTGGAGCGTCAAAATGAAGCCGGTTTTCTTGTCAGCTGCTGCTGTGTCATGGGAGTATGAACTAGTCTGAACTAGACTGAAACTCACCCTGGTCTGACGTTTTGTAACAGTTGAATTACCTGGTTTCATGAAAAACTGGAGGACACCCTATACGTTTTCTAATGAGTGCAATCACTCACAATGCCCCTGCTCTGCTGGGGACCAGTTTCCATTGTGTAGAAACTCATTTAATTATTTATTTTAATGAATCATCCAATTTCCTATAAAATGTGTAAAAAGTTGGCCTTCAGGAACAAAAATTACTGGGGAAAGGCAGGCAGTGTGGTCAGACACACTTTTTTTCTCTAGGAAACCAGGGTGAAAACAAGAGAGATGAGCAGCACTGATACTCTGAGATTTATACCTATGAGGGAAGAGTGTATTCATGTCCAGCTGGCATTGGTAGGTCCTTTTACTGTGAACACCATCTTCATGTGTTGGGAATATCTGTAATTTTTTGTTTACTAGTAAAGATATAGCAGCAGCTCCATATCTAACAGCTTGTTCGTATCTGGAGTCTCCAACCATGCATCTTTGTTCTTGATATTTCTGTCTCCTGAGGAAGATGATGACAGACCTGTTTTATGTATTTACCGGAACTGACTTGCTGGAAGCTGACATTGCTGTAAATGCTGCCATTATCCCAAAGCAGCCTCTGTGTGTGCTTTAGCCCATGCCTGTCTTTCAGGCAGTCTGAGAAAATTGTGGCATTTACCATAACAGTGATTCGCAGTGCCTTGTCTTCCATAATTGCCAGATCATATGAGGATTGTGCAGAAATTTCTGATTTAAAAAGCACAAATAATAAAGTGAAGTAAAAAGAATAGGTGTGCTCCTCTCAAAGGACACTCCAATGTCCGTAGTGCAGCTGTAGCTGCTCCTTCTTTGCAGATGCTTCAGTAGATATTGCTTCCATGGAGCCAAATGCCTTTTGGGTCTCTGCCACACAGGCTTAAACATTCCCATGCTGAGCACGGGGAACAGGGTCCTGCAATGTGTTGTGCTGCGCATGTGTATCAGGAGCACAGGGGGCATTTTGGTCTTTTGATGAAAATTTCATTGCTTTTGCTCTTAGTGCTTCAATGTTCTTTGCTTGTTCCTTTCCTGAGTAGATACTGCAGTTACGTATAGCAATGTCTTGTACAGTTTCTGGCAGTTTTAGTGGCTTCAGTCTTGTTTGCTGTTATGTACTGCTATTATCATGGCTAGGGTTACAAAGCCACACTGTTGTACATAGACAGCAAAGCTCTTTTGCTCACATGAGAAAGTGTTCAGTTTTGGGAAGCTAAGAGGTTGTGTGTGAGCTTTTTGTTAAGTGAGACCCACTGGGAGATGTGCAAGCAGCAGGAGCCTAAAGGGGAAATCAAGGCTGGACCTCAGTTCCTGAGGCCATGGTCTCTGGGAACAAGAAATTAGCCTTGGTCTCCAGTTACAAAGAGAGAATTGTCTGCAGGCTCTGTGTGACCACCTCTGTTCCAAAATAGGAACCATAAGCCACATCACTGCTTTCTCAGACGCTGACCTATGAGGCCATAGGGAGATTCTACCTGTGTCAGGAGGACAACAGCGTGTTTGTTCTCATGCAGTGTGATTTACAATGGACCTTTCCAATTATCCCCTAGAAATCAGCTGGGGAGTTTTCTCTGGAAGAGGTCTTCAGGTGCCTTGCAAACTGGCCCAGGCTGCAAACATAGAAGTGTTGAAAGTTTGGGAATGGACCATGATCACATTCAATTGCATCCAGCTTCAAGCATGAAACAGTTCCAAGTCAAGTGGAAGCTGAAGGCTAACTGCTGGATGCAGCAATCAATTTAGGAATTAGCCAAGGGCTCTTCTTACTCAGACCATCATTGCTATGAATCCCCAGTGATGTTAACCCAGTTAGTTCTGTCCTTTTCCAGGGCCAGCAGCTCCAGACACCTTTAGCAGCAAAATGTGCTTCTGGTACCATGGTGGGGTAGTGACTCCATCGAGTTGCACGAAGAGTGTTGCCTACTGAATTTTGCAGTTGCATGCGTTGCAGCTCAGCATTTCATATCTAAACCCCTTATGGCTTGGGAGACTGGGGGAAACACCAGGACAGGTAAATAGGGCTGTGCTTCTGCCAGTTTTATCCTTCTTCTTTTGGTTGTTCTTGCATATCACAGGCTCCTGAGCATGCTCTGCACAGGGCTGTTCAAAAGGAAGTGTTTGGTTTGGGAGAACTACCCAAGAGCCAAAAGGTGAGCATATCAGAATTGTTTTAATTTCTGTTTCTATTCTCCCTTCCACTGCACACCACCCTTGTACTTTTAAACATCAGTGGAGGCACGGAAGGCCAGACTTCTGCTGTTGGAGCAGGAAACCAAAATATACAGAGGCAGTGGTTTGCTCATGCTACATGGCAGCTAACTGGGAAAAGTCCTGGTTCATAAAAAGTATGGGTCTCTTGTTTGTCCTTACAGTTAGTGCTCTAGTATGAGACTAGGTCTGCCTAATTAAATGCATAATTATGCAATGTGATCACTTCCTGCCCTCTAAAGAAATACAGAACAAAACTTGCCAGCACTGCACCCTCATGCTGTGGTATAATCAGGGGTTGGCTGGCTGGTTATGCACTTCATTTGGTTATTTCTTCAGTGTTTATTTTGGGCTTGTTTGAAGCATAATCATCCTGTCCCTCTGGAAATCAGCATCCTTCAGGCAAAAGGTATAACTTGGCTTGCAGGATGCTTTTCAGTCCTGAGCATTTCTTGGTAGCTGTTGTGGTACCTCTACAAAATCAACCTCAGATGTGACTCGTGTAAGCCTTGTGCTCTCCTGTTCCCCCCTGGCAATCCCAGCAGCCTTCCTAGGTGAAACCACTGCCTGTTGGTATAGATAATTTGGGAGTGCTGATGCTCTGGGACACGTATGGCCTTGACCTATCTGGGAAGAAGGAAACGCGTGGTCTGGCCTGGGATGGCACTGGTACTGTTGCTACAGAGCCATCAGCACCCTCTGCGTTGAATGTTTCCGTATTTTTAAGGAATATTGTAACATCAAGTGAATAATGGTAAAATTCAGTCTGGTAAGATTTATTACTTCAATATTGGAGGGTTCCAGCTGATACCAGATTAACGTATTCATAGGATTTTAGGAACTGCTTGAGTAACAGTTACCTTTTAATCTGAAATCTTTGCAAGGGTCTCGTGTCACTTCTGTGCTAATGATTCAGCCTGTCTTTATAAGAGGTTGAATTTCTTTACATAGTGTTTTGAGACTAAATATGAAAGAGGGAAAATGACCCTTAATTTTAGCAAGTTCCCATTTGGTTTAACAGCTGCTGTGATTTCTGTCTTGTCTTTTCGGCTGCATTTGCCACTTTGGCAGTGTGTTTTTGGCTGTCAGAGTCTTACAGAGTTCTAATGAAGTGCAACACTTTTTTCTTTTCCCCACAGCTGTTATTTGTCATTTGATATAAATCTTCCTTATTAGAGTTTTGTTCCTGAATAAATGATAAAAGGACAGTTAGTATCAGAAGGCAGTGCTGGCATAAGAGTTTCTGCTTTGTTGCTAACTTCTGTTTGCTTTTAAGATATCTGAAACTCTGAAAACTGGAAGTTGTTCTGCACTGGTACTAAAACACAATGGCCCTTAATAAAGGTCCAGAAGAAGATGCAATTAGAATGATTTTTGTTCAGTAAAGAGTGAATGTCCAGCTACCATCTGTGTCACACCAAGGGAAAGATCACCTCCTTCAACTTTTTCCCAATATAATGATAAGTGATAGAAAGAATGCTATGGAATCATGTGCATGTGGCTGGTCACTAATTTTTAGCCTATTCCACAGACTCCTGAGCTCAGATACAAATTTGAATCTGGCTGGCCTTAGCCAAATGGAAGTTATGAATCTCCAGGATGTAAAAATTGTAGATGATTGCTGTGCTCAATTACAGCAACTGAAGGTGTGGCTCAAATATGGTTTTGACAGCAATACAATTAGAAGGTCATGACTTAAAAGTAAGTCTAAAACCCAATAATCTGGTCCTCCACCTGGCACTGTAGGCAATTCCTTTCTTTAACCATCAGCCAAAATAATACATGGTACATAACAAAATAAAGGTAACTGAAGTGCTGAGGAGCTGGTCTTTTCTACTTCATTTAATACTGTGAGGGCTTTTTGCCTCCTCCTGGAAGCAGGTGTTCCTCACAGGTCCAGAGGAAAAGACAGCTTTCATGCAACTGTGGTGATACACTGATGAGATGGCTAATAATGGAGCTTGCAGTTGTGATGCCAAAGTGATGCCTGAATGGCTGGTCATGGAAAGGCACAGGAGGAGGCTGAGAGTCCATGTTGCTGGCTGCCTCCTGCTCTGCCTTCATGTTGCTCCTGTGTGAACGCAAGGCTAGCGCAGCACTGAGCACCCACAGTTTTCCCGTAGGGAATGATGCCAGTAAACCAGGTAATGGTTGGTAGCCCAGAGCATGCTGCTGTTCTCTGGCTTCATGAGTGTGCTGAGATCTCAAAGGTTTTTTTGCCAGGAAAAGGTTAAATTGTTCCGGAGTTTTATCCTTTTGTCTAGGACCTTCCTGGCGTCCTTAAATTGGATATTTCCATGTTCTCTGATCTTACATCCTAAGGGTGCTGTGGGCTGGCAATACCTCCTGTCCTGTCCATTACCCTCTGGATCACTTTATGCAGCACAGTCAACATTTGAGACCAGCTGGCAGCCCAACTGCATTGTCTGTTTAACTGCAGGAAACCATCCTTTATCCCCCTCTGAATCCTGATGGAGTAATGATGACAGATAATTGATTGAATGCTTTTTCCTTTCTTTTGTTTAATTCCTCTCTTTGAGCAGGCTCCCCAGATACACAAATAAAATCCTTAATTAAAATTTGTGGATTAATTAATAGAACAACAGATCTTTTTCTTTTCCTGTTGCCACAATATCACAGAGAGTTTCTCTGCTTTTTACTTGTGCTCCCCTGTCAAACATTTTCAGCTGTCAAAATGGGTAAGTACACGCTGGGCTGTTGTGCAGGCACATCAGATGCATCAGTGCTTTTTAGAATGCTGGAAAGAAACAGCAATTTAATAGTCTGGGATTTCTCATGTGCTGTTTTGTTGCTTGCGTGGAGCAGTGTCTTGGGTTATAGTCCCCTATAGAAGGTGGGGTAAACACCATCTTTGCTGGAGTGTTCCTTCAGGTTTTGTGATGTAAGAAATGCTTGTCAGAGTGAGGGCTGCAGGATCAGGATCCCCCAACATCGCACTACTATTACCTGCTTAAATTGCAGCAGTTTATGATCAATATGATTGACATCTTTGTATTATAAAAAGAAAAAAAAAACTGGTTTGGAATTGTTTTCTGTAAACTGCCACTCAGTTTGCAGAGCTGAGCATGCACTTCATGTCTGCAGACTGGAAGTTGGTGCAATACAAGCAAACGCACAGCAAATGGCAGGTAAAAACAAACAAGAAAAGGAGGCTATCAAAGCTAATAAAGAGTCTTGTTGCATGCTGAATAAAGCTTTTATGATTTTATCTTTTTGCTCGGGGCAAACAGTACATTTTGTTTCTGTTCTGCAGTGAGCATAAGCTTTGGGAGGTTAAGCAGAGAGTATTAGGTTATGGTAAGTGGTTATCAGAGGCTTGCTTTACAGTCATGGCCTGTTAAATTGTTTACTGAACCTTATTTTGTATCTCTGTGGTTGATGTGAGTCTTAATTCCAGTTTATCTCACTTTAAACATGAGTCTGTTGAGTTTTTCATAAAACTTGAAAGGACGAACATAAAGTTTAAGGTGCTTTTTATTACAAGCCACAAATGTTAAGGTGTCACCACAGAAACACCAGTCATTATGTCATTGTGTATCTTGGCAAGTTTTATCAACGCAGGGTTTTATACCTGCTGTTCTACAACTGTCAGTTATTCTGGTTGCATTTGAACAGATGCCAGGATCTGCTCTCTTCTGGGAAGAGGCTGGGACAGTAGCGGGCTGGTCATGCGGTGAGCCCCCATGGCACTCATGTCCATCATGCTTATGGGTCTGCTGACCTTGATGCTGTTGTACATGATTTGTTTGCCTCAAAATGCTGTGTTGGGCACTGGCTATTTGGGAGCACCTCGGCTGCCTGCAAAGTGGCTGGCAGGAATGGGCAATCTGGACAGCAAAGCCCTCTTTCCTCCTCAAATGGAGCAGAAGCTGGTCTGCAAACCTGGCTTTTTGCTTTGGTGCATCTCCTGTCACTCAGGATGTTTCAATTTCAGCACTGGGTTTACAGATAAGTGTTAATTCCAGGCTGCATTGAGCATCTTGAGTATCTTGTTAACCTGAATCAAACAGTTCTGTAGTATTTCAGCAGGGACTGTGAGCATAAGAGAGCTTTATATGGACAGCAGAACAAGAGTTTTAGGTGCTTGCTTTGGACATTCTGAGATGTAGAAAAATAGCCAATTTTCAGAAAATGTTTTTACACATCCCTGCTGCCATTTAACCCCACTTCTAGGTTTAGGATACCTAAAGCACAGCCTGTGTGTATCCAAAGACAGCCCACAGCTGTCCCTGTGTGGGAACAGCAGGGAGAGGCTTGATCTCTGCAACTGCAGCTTGTGCACCGAGGGATTTCCAAAGCCTCTTGAGGCAGCAGGGCCAGTGACCCTTGTGTTTGTGCAGTGATGCCCAATTAGTCTCCGTAGGAGAATTATATCCTTTTGTATGAAAGTCAGGTGCTGTTCGGGCAGCCTGCTGTTGAAGACCTTTATATATGTGGTTTATCAGTTTTCAGAACTCATTGTGGTATTTCCACATTTCCTAGCAGCAGGACTTGACAGTAAATCCTCAGATAAACTGTGATGTTGGATAATCCAGGTGAAATGAGAAGCAGGGCCAGGGAACTGCTGCAACACAGGAGCAGGCTGTTGAAGTGAGCCAAAACAGGATTACTGAAGTTTGGGAGGGAGGCAAGGAGCTCAAAGGTGCAAGTATTAGGGCACAAGGTATTCTGGGATAAATTCCATTTTGTATTACTTACTCATACATGCTTTGATCCTGCTCTGCTGCTGGGCTTCAGGCTGTTCCATGTTTTGATTTGTTCTCCCAAACAAGTTGTGGCTTACACTGTGAGCAGTGTACCATACCCTGGTAATCTATAGCTTTGTGTTGGACCTCTGTAATGTGAGAGGTTTTATAGTTGCTCTGAAAAGGTGGCCAGGTCAGTATTATCAGTGTGCTTGTAACACGCTTTCCTCCACTAGCCATGCCTCTTTGCGTATGACTCCATAACTGGGTAACAGAGCCAGCAACTGGCTAATAAAAACAGGACGGAAAATGTGAAAGCTCATGAGGAAATATACTCCCATGCCAACAAAGAGAAAAAGATACATCGGAAAATAGTGCCACGGAAGCAGATAATTTTAAATTTGAGATCAAGTCCAGCTGGTACTTTTATGGGCAGGACTCCTTTGGTTTAAAGTGGAAAAATGTAAAAAAAACCCCTACAGTAGTGGAGACCATTGACAGGAGACTGCTCTTTACCTTCCCTAAAAGCCACACATCAGATGGCTTCCCATTCTGCAGTGGTTTTGGGAGTGAGGGTCCAATCAGAGGACAAAGATACAAGTCTTTGGCCACAGGGTGCAGCACACGGTGGTCTCACAGCAAACTAGGGACTGCAGGCTGAAGCAGTGTTTCAGTCAAGTGACTCATTTTGATAATTAGCCAACAGCCAGTTCCCATACTTTGAAGGATATGTTCTGCTTCAGAGGCATGCAGTGTGCCCCTTCTTTGTACTCATGCACTGATTTTTCAGGACTGACTGGCAAGTGGCTTTTATATGGCTCTGACCTTCATGTTCATCTTGCCAGAAGAAAAATGTGAAGTTGACCACATTGCCAAATGAAATGGAAAATGGATTTGTTTCTGTGAAATAGTACTAAGCAAACCTTTCTGATCTTATTTTCAGGTATTCATTACCCTGCCAGGGTGTTAGTTCTTCTAGTTGGTAGGACAGCCAAGACTGCAAGGTGAAAGCACAGAGTAGGGGACGGCATGTTTGCTCTTCAGATAGAAATGGAGATTATTCTTGTCTTGATAAACTCCTCTTATTTCTTTTCCTGCTGGAGCAACATGCAATGAAGTGGTGTCAAAATAATAGAATCATAGAATAGTTAGGGTTTAAAAGGAGCTTAAGATCATCTAGTTCCAACCCCATATAATACGCACTACAGGACAATAATACAATACTGCACTCTTGGATTAAATCCAAATTACTAAATCTATTCTAGGAATATTATTTTAACAGATTCCCCTGCCCCCCCAATATTTCTACTTCAACTGTTCAAGTCAGTGAAGAAAGACTGACAGAGACTGCTCATTGCTCCCAGCAGCTGGCAGTGATGTGAGGCTGATAATTTTCCCTATGATTTTGCTAAACTTTGGATTAAATCCACTGATGTGCTGTTTTAAGTAGGGAATATCCAGCTCTGTTCTGCTTTGCCTGAGTCAGGCCTGGGTGTTGGATGTGGCTGTCTTCAATCCCTAGCAAATACAGAGGCTTGCTCTCCAACCTCCTGTTTATGTGAATGTGTATCCAAGTGGGACAGGTCCAGTGAAAAGGGAGGGTTGTGGCTCCATCAATGGAGTCTGTCTCCAGCATCCCCTGGAAGTCTCCTAGATTGGGTTACTGATCTGTCTGTCTCTGTTTTGCTGTCTTGAAAACTGTTTTGGAAAACCTTTTCAAGAGGAAATCCTGGTGCTGGGGACACATTTTGTATGTATTTTTGATCAAATGAATAAAAGATTTGCTGCACAAGAGTATTCCTTCTCTAGGGTGCCTGCATGAGCACTGAGCCTGACCAGAGGTGGGTCTGCCCTTGAGAGTGAGCATAAATAGAGGTAATTATATGGGCACCAGGTTCAGTGACTACAATTTAAAAGGCTCTAAGTGAGATATTAGATCAGCAGCAGTAAGGCACAGCAGCTGCAGAAGTCGTGTGCTGTGGTAAACCTGTGTATGTGAAATCTCCCTCTAAAAAGATTTCAACACTTTGCATCACATCTGCTAATACCTATTTTTAAAGGACGGCTGTGTCAGCTGCCTCAGCTCCACACTGCCGTGGGCTGTTCTCAAGTCTGGACTGTGTTCCAGTCAATGCGAAGTGGACTCTGCTGCCCGATATGAATGGTTGACTTGTCCTGATAGTTTTTGTTGGCAGTAAACAACTGCAGTGGCAATGTGGCTGTGATTTCTGCCAGCCCTTGGGTGTACTTTCCAAATACTGAAGCCAGTGACCCGGCTGAACTGAGGTCTCAGGGAATCCTTTCATGGGAACTACAGGAAAACATATATTTTTAGTGATTTTTTGTATAATCTTGTAGACATCAGGATACAAGGGTTTGACGAGAAGGCTCAGGTGTGATCAATCACCTGGGATGTTGCATCCTAACACCTAGGGGCATAGATATTAACACCTTAAATGTGTTAAACGTAGCTTTTCCTGATACTCTAGTGATATTTACTTTCCTACTACTGTAGATACACCTGAAGGTAGTAGAGTTATTAAAAACAGCCACTTTTTCTAGTGTACTGTCCTCTGACTGCAATGTGGAGCTCCTCCTGAAATGACAATTTTTCTGGTCATCAAAAAGCTGAATATTGACAGATATTCTTTCAACATTATAGCTGACCCTGTAGTTACAGCAGATCCCAAAAGGTATCAAGGTCCCTTTCTTAATTCCCTCCCCTACTCTGACTGGCAAACTGGACAGAAAGGCTTTTTGCCTACCTAAAAATATGCCACACTCAAATTGAGCAGTAGCATGCTGGCTGATTAACAAGAAGAGAAAATCATTCTTTCCTGCACAACTTAGTGGAACTCAGGACCCTGACCCACAGCTATAGCTGAATTAAAGGTAACACTTCAAGTTTAGAATTTTCCTGAGAAGGAATATGCAGGTTAATCATGCGTAGCTGCTCTCCATTGCTGTCACTAGTAGAGCTAAGTCTTATTTTCTAGGCTTTCAAATTCCAAATGGATGGTAAACTGAAGCCCATGAGAAGAACTCAGCCTCAGGAGGAGTTCTTTAGTGGCAAGCTGTCTACCTCAACCTATGCTAACCTCTCACTGTCTCTTCTTTTTTGTAGGCAACATCTTTGTCGTCAGTTTGTCGGTTGCAGACCTTGTAGTTGCAGTTTATCCATACCCTCTGATCTTGAGTGCCATTTTCCACAATGGATGGACCATGGGAAATGTCCACTGCCAGATAAGTGGGTTCCTGATGGGCTTAAGTGTCATTGGATCCATTTTCAACATCACAGCGATTGCAATCAACCGCTACTGCTACATCTGTCACAGCCTTCGGTATGATAAGCTTTTCAACCTGAAGAACACCTTCTGCTATCTCTGCTTGACCTGGATACTCACAGTGGTGGCAATTGTGCCAAACTTCTTTGTTGGCTCTTTGCAGTATGACCCCCGGATTTACTCCTGCACCTTTGCACAGACAGTGAGTACATCATACACCATCGCAGTGGTGGTGGTTCACTTCATCGTCCCACTGTCCATCGTGACATTTTGCTACCTGCGGATCTGGATTTTGGTGATTCAAGTCAAACACCGGGTGAGACAAGATTGCAAGCAGAAGCTCAGAGCAGCTGACATCCGGAATTTCTTGACTATGTTTGTAGTTTTTGTCCTTTTTGCTGTGTGCTGGGGACCATTAAATTTTATTGGCCTTGCTGTTTCAATTAATCCTTCACATGTGCAGCCACATATTCCAGAATGGCTTTTTGTCCTGAGCTATTTTATGGCCTATTTTAACAGCTGCCTTAATGCTGTGATTTATGGTCTTCTTAACCAGAATTTCCGGAGGGAATACAAGAGGATACTGCTGACACTCTGGACTCCCAGGTTTCTGTTCATCGATCTGTCCAAGGGTGGGACAGAAGGGATGAAAAGCAAGCCATCTCCAGCTGTAACAAACAACAACCAAGCTGAAATGCATTTATGAGTCAGAACAGTACTATTTATTCTGGATTACAGTTGTATATATAATATAAAAGAGCCTTTCTATGTGTGCATTTCACAGCTGGTGTTGCTGGGCCCCTCATGCAAGGAAGGAGTCTGCTTCTCATATGAGGAAGGGGTCTTCTACCTTTCATGTTTAGCTTATTGCTGCAAGATCAAGGCTTTGAATAATTTTCAGAATGGAAATGACTGATCTTTATTTATTTTTTTTAATATACCATCTTTCACCATGTGCCTATCTAATAGGTTTGGTTGCTTTTGCCACAAGCATTCAGTATGCATGGAGAAATGCAGTTATGCTTGAAATGCAATCTTCAAGAGCTGGCAAAATTGCTGTGTATTACAAACAAACCTGTCTCCCCTCACTCTGAATTCTATTTTTTTAGCATTAACATGACTCAAACTATAGCAAATAAAGTGGAATCTGCGTGGCTCTTCACCTTTTCAGTTAGGTACCAGTAGCAGCCAGCAGGCATACATATGGGCATGATGATGTCCAGTGTGTGTGCATTAGTTTTGCTTTTTCTTTTCTTATAAGGTTTAGAAGCTAGCCTGTGCCAGATGTGAGGCAGGCAAAAGCCAGACCTAGCGAATGTCTGATGCACTCATTTTAATTGCATATCTACAGGTATTAAGTACCCTTGCACTCTCCTTCTCAGGCCATGAGTAAGAGTATAATATATGACATAATCTAATTGCAGGAAGATACTTGGAGCCTGATTCCAATTTAGGCAGTATCCTCTCATGGCCAGCATTCATTTCAAATGTATTTCAGAAGCCCCTGATACATGAACATCATACAAAAGATGAGCATAAGAGTCCCACCTGTTTAATGCAGATGACGGCATTTAAGTTCCAGTAATATTTACACTTGCAGACAAAGGGAAAAAGGGAAAGAAGAGTTTCTTCCAACCACCTCTCCTTTTCCTAACCACAGAACATGAATTTGACAGGGGGAGAAAAGCAGTGGAGATTTTTTTTTCCATTTTATTCATGTACAAAGCTCTAATGCAAGGAGCTGCGAGAGGAAAGCTACTTACGCATATTCATGCATCAGTTCTCAGTTAAAGCCTGAACTCTGTTATTTATGTCATTGGAAACAATGTTCTTAAGTGCTGGGAAGGCCAGTATCATGTTAGAAACAAGCACACGGGCAAAGATAAGGCTGTTTCTTTAACAGAGTATGTGTGTGGGGTGATGGCAGCTGTCTGTAAATATGACTACGTCTTTTTCCCTTAGCTTCAATGTGATTTCATCTCTTTATGGTTTAAAACATGTGGATCCTGCTTTGAAACAGTCCCATAAAATCAACAGGTAAAGCTTCCCCATTGCAACTACACCTTAAGCTAGAAAGGCTTGTTGCTGGGCTACTCTCAGTAGGTACAGCAGGAGCTGCGTGATGGAGAGGAGCCGGTCTGAGCCCTGCAGCCAGACCAAAGAGTGCAGTCTTTTTGATTATGGTCAAAGCAGGACCAGGACTAGCTCCCAGAGCCGAACCCTGAGAACCAGGATTTGCACTAGCATGTAGGTGCCTAGCAGTAGAGGTACATAGGATTTGCAAAACCCTGAGCAGGCTGAGTGCCTGATCCTTGGTGAGTTAACAAGCCATTTGTGCATTGCTTGTTAAGAGCAACTTGTTGCTGAATGTCCCTTCTGCTGATCTTCTGAGGGAAGAGGAGTTGAGCAGAATTAAGCCCCTTTATGAAGTGGGGCCAAGAAACATTGCGTGGCGCATTGCTTCAGTGAGGACCGCAGTTTGCGTGCTGCCACATGGTGAAGGTTGCTGCAGTGCAAAGTGGGGTTCTGCATACTTAGGGCACCCTGGCACTTTGTGAAGTTTCAAACTTGAACATCTCAGTCACTTCAGATGATTATTGTTTTAAAATGCACTGCAGCCAGCCTCCCATAATAGGAATCAAACTGAGCTCTGTTTTGGCCTCTAAATCTGCCTGAGCATGGCCAAATAAAGGTATCTTCGCCTTCAGAAGTAATGTGGTCTGTTTGCCTTCCAGCAAAACCAGTCTGGATGAATTCACACCATTCCATGCAAGCAAAATTATTTTGAGTCAAACTTGGATAAGAAAAGCACCGAGGAATCCATAACTGCAGGGACTGTTTGTCCTATCACACCAAGGAGATGTCCTGTGTTCTGTGACTAGTCTTCAGTCATTTGCAATTAGCTACAAGTGTTAGAATCACATTAGCAAATAACTTCAAGCATCTAGTGCCAAGACAAATAGACTCCTCTAAGACAATTATGAAGAGTATTTTACAGGTTTGCCAGTTGTCTCAAAGACTGCAAAACTGGCGTTTCTTCTTATTAATCGTTGCCTTTTTAACTGAATGTTCAGTGAATGCAATGTGGTTTGTTTGGTTTTGTTTTGTTTTTTCTTTAAGCTTGTATTTGCACTATTTCTCATTCAGGCTCCAAAGTAACAGCCAGCGAGCATTTGAACCAAACAACGTAAGCCAAAGAGGTCCTGAACAGGCAAGCTGCTCTGCTAGCACCTGGCAGGGAGGGGAGCAGCTGGAGCACAATAGGGCATCTCCCCAGGACTCAGAGAGTCAGTGCTGAACTAAACTATGCAAAATGATAGCTCGTCTTCTGCTGTAGGGTCCGAGCCCAACTCTTGCCCTCGTCTTTGCAAGGGAAAGGCTAAGTACCTGCTGGGCTGCGGTGGGAGCTGAGCCGCACCATGCATACGCAGACCCTGCTGCCACCTCGCAGGGTGGGGATGGGTCTGCGATGGGCACTGTCCATCTAACAGCACAGAGAACTTGCCCTGTTCAGATGTGCTTTGGGCATCCCAGTGTAAGCGAGGGCTGTCCAAGAGTGAGCCCGGAGGCTGGCTGACTGAGCCACAGTTGGAATCCTGAGCTCAGTCCTGCTGGAGCTGAGGTTTGTGATATAAAACATGAAAAGCAGGGAACATGGCTTCAGACAGAAAACACTGTGCCATTTGCTAGCACTTTGATACAGAGACAGTGGATAGGATAGATTTTTATACTGATTTATTTTAAAATTACCCAAGCAGCTCTTTATTTTCATGTTAAAAATGGTTAACAGGATACAGTTTATTTTGTTTACAAAAAAAAAGGGAAGTGTGTCTTAAACTGTGAATCCTAAGATGCGTCAGAGTTTCCCTACGGGAATCTAGCTTTAATCCAAATTTGGCTTTTAAGGAGATTCCACAGGTTAAACCACGCTCTGCCAATCCCACCTGTTGTATACCTTGCCTTAAGTCTCAGAAATAACATTGAGATCTCCTATAAGCTAGCTTTAAATCATGTGCTCTGGATATGACCTGGTGGTGTTGAATACCTATTGTAGCCCCAAAATCTAAACCTGTCCTAGTGGCCATAAACTTATGGAGAGGCAGTAATGCTCTGCAGGAAGAGGAATCTCTTACTACAAAGAAATATTTTTGGATGTTGTTAATGAATGTTTAAGAAGAATATTTAAGAAGAATGTAACTAATATATTTATATATAAATATATATTGCATATGCTGTTTCCATTTTATCATTTGATTAAGAATCCTTTCCTATTACTACTTTTGTTGCTAGATTCATCCCTTTCCCTGTTAAAACTAATAAATCTGCCACTGGAATGCTTATTCTTTTTTTCCACTTGCATTTATTTTTTTTAATAAATATTTGGAACAACAGCTTTAGTGTAGATTTTGCTGTGCTCGTGCAGTTCTTCAGACAACAGATTCTGCCCATAGGTTGCAGCAATTATATTTCCATGCTATCTTGACTGGATCTGTATTTTTTGGGCGCCTTACTGCTGCTTCTGAAGTGGGGAGGGTGGTCCATGTGTAACTGCAACTTGAACTCTTACAGACCAAGTGCCTTGTTCCTGTTTCCTGACAAGATGCCATGTCTAATCTGGGTGTTAATGTAGTAAAGGCTGAGATTATCGAGTAAAACAAAAAACAGCTGAACCACCATGGAGCAGATGTGTTGAATGAACATCCCAAAGCAGAATTGCTGGGGTTTTTTGCTAATCTTTTCCAGCAGGCACTGGACTTTATCTGCTGCTTCCCCTGCAATGCTCAGTGATGTAACATGCGAAAGAAACCTGTTTATGATAGTTGTAGATCCCAAAATGTCTCAATAGAGCTGCTGGAAAACTGTTGCACAGATTCATACCTGCTGTTTCCAAAATGTGGGACTGCATGAATTGAAATGTCAGAAATGACGCGGTGTTGTTTATTTCCTTTCTTGCCACAAAGTATAGCAACTGGGAGGTAAGATACAGCTATAAAAGATAAGAGGTGCGACAATCCAACATCAGGATAAAATCTCACTCACGGTAGCTATTTAGAAGCCAGTATTTGTCCTAATGTATTTACTTCCATGCTTATAATTTATAACATCAATCCAGTCAGTAAAGAGGTGCTGCATATGTATTGAATCTTATTGAAAAAAAGTAAATTACTGGCCCTAATGCAATATTTCCTACCATAAAAGCCCTGAGATAAGAAATGCAGAACAGGTTCATGCAAGAACTCTGTGATGGGATTTGTGATAATAACCATAAAATTTGTATTGCAAAGATAGAATTTACAGTATGGGGTGCAAATTTTCCAGAGAAAACAAGGTGGGTCTGAAACATTAACTGAAATATGCTTCTGTTTTCTCCCAGGCATGGTCTCCTGAAGAGGTTTTCAACTCAAATAGTAGTTTCTAAGAAGCGAGGGCAACTTTAATGTCTTTTAGATTAGTGGATAATGGCTGTGTAGTCACAGCTTGCTTAGATTACTATTTAAATAGTGTGACCCATCAAACAGTTTCATAAATCTCTCCAGTCGAAGTGCATTATTTATTTTGTATGTAGAATATCTTATCACATTAAATAAATTGTGATGTCTTTCCTTCTACATTTACTCCTCCTGTGAGCAAAACTTCTGAATTTCCATGGAAGCAGGGAAATTTACCTCAAGTGTAAGAAGGTTGTTTTGCTTTGAGGTGGGTTTTGATAGGTGTGTAAGATAGAGGTAGTGATGTGGCATCAAAATACAACCATCTCCTGGGTGAAAAGTGATAGATGTTTTGCTATGGAAAAAAACAACCATGGAAAAAAGTGAAAACCGTTTGCAGGCAAGAAATTGCAAATTACATTTGCGGTTGAAATAGAAGAGGAATGTTTGGAGGGATTGTTCTTACTCAAACTGGAACTTGGCCAGGACAATGAAGTTAATGAACCTATTAATACAAAAAGTGACTCAGGGATTCTTGTGGTGCTGGGGCACAGAGCCAGTGGTAAGCCAGGTGTCTGGCTGCAGGAGTCCCTGCCATGAAGCAGAGACAGAGGCAATACAGTAGGTAAAGCTGGAGAAACCTAGAGAAAAACCAGAGTATACTTCTGAAAATACTACATACACAAATGTACTGGTAGTTAGAAGTTGAGCGAGATTTTGCTTTTGGTGGTTTTTGTGTGTGTTTGGTTGGTTTTTGCTTGGTTTGTTTTGTTTTAATGAAAACCAAACATTTCCCTTCCTAACGCTTCTGAAATGGAGCACTATAGTCAGTCAGCCTGAATGCTCTTTCCACAGGTATTTGTCCTGTCCCTGCTGCAGCACCGCAGCTCCTTGTGACATCAGCCTGGCATGACTGGGGACAAATAATTTCCTCCAAGCTTCTCCTGCAAGAGGAAATGGGTCACGAAAAGCGTTTCAGGAGACCAGGGCATGCACAGCACCACATCACTTGGGCTGGAGGTCAGGTGCACACCATGGTTGTGCTGCTCTTCACATAGCAGGTGAGGCAGCTCACAAGAGCTCCTTAGCAGCATCACCTGAGGAACCCATGCCTTGAGGAGATGGGGATACTGACAGTAATTCACAGCTAGAGCTTGAAGCAAGTATTTTTCCTCTTTCCCTCAGCTGTGATTTAGTTGTGAAACAAACTCATTACGCTCTTGAAGGACTGGACTGGTTTGCTTTGCTTTGCTTTGCTGGTGGCTTTGGAGGGACCCAAGCTGCAGGGGTTGCAGCTTGGGCACAGCTAGGATGTGGCTGATGGGCTGATGAGCTGCCCCTGAGCAGGGCCATGTCACACCCAACTCCACCAGCTTAAATTGCATTGGGTAGAGGCTCTTTTTTCCCCTCTAGAGAGTGGCTAGAAGAGGCAGAAGGTGCTGTGCTATGGCCACGCTGAGAGGTGAGTTTTGCTTTCTTGGTATGATGCTCTTTTTGCTGGGAAGTCAAAACACCTTTGGGAAAGCAAATATCTCCTGTAGAGAAACAGAGCTGCTATATTCCGGTAGCTTACAGCTTTCCCTGCCCCGCTAGTGGTCATGCACAAA